CGTGCCTGGCGGTTGCTTGTCATCAAGCTACATGCCCACCCCTTGGGTTTTTGAGGACAAGGTCTCACTATGTGGCTCAGGCTGGCCTTGACTTGCTTTGTAGGCCCCCTTCCCCAAGTGGCTAAGACCACAGACGCGTGCCGCTGCCCAGCTTAAAGTACTTCCTGAATGAGTAAGTGGACGAAGGACTGCTGAGACCAGGATGTCCCCTCCTGGGAGTCACTCAACAATTACGAGAACAATCGGTTTGCAGATTGTGCTTTCCCTGAGAGACTCCACTGACCTCATTTTGAGTCTGCACCTATGTGGACACATAAGCACCATCAAACACGGCACAGACTGATAACTTATTTCTAAAAATAGAAAGAAGGTAGAGAGACGGCTCAGTGGTTAAGGACACTGGCTGCTCTTCCAAAGGACCGGGACTCGTTTCTCAGCATTTGTGTGGCAGCGCAGGACTGTCTGTAACTCCGGTTCCAAGGGGATATGATGCCCTCTTCTGGCCTCTGAGGGCACTGCACACACGTGGTACACAGACGCACAGGCGGGCGAAACGCCCACCCAGGCATTGCCAGCAGCACATGCTGCTAGGAATAAAGGCATTCCTTGCGGATGCAAGGCTGTGCGCTTAGACCACGTTACAGGGCGAACGTTTGTCGTCTGTCACTGTGAACAACCCCATGACCAAAAGTAACTGAGGAGGAAAGGCGGTGTACAGCCCACCACTGAGAGAAGTCAGGGCAGAAACTCATGATAGCTAAGAGACCGCACAAGGCAACTGTGTAGTAAGATCACTGACTCCCCGGCTCACCCACCAAGCTGGCTTGAGGCTTCCGCAGAGGGAATCTGCGCACTTGGACCTACAACGGAGCAGGAATTTACGGCCACCGAGGTGTACGAGGGAGATCAAAGCTTTGTCTGTGAGGAAGTGCTGTGTGGCACAAAGCAACAATCAGGGTCTTTCCTGCTTCATAGTGTAATAAGGAGAGCCATCTCTTTTGGTAGAGTGTGGGCTCCCTCTGCTGCTGACAGGAGGCAGCCAGGGCTTTGCTGCCTGGGGGCTTGAGGCTTGAGGCAGAGAAAGTGGCTTTCCCACAGAGAAGGATGGGGATAAACATGGCAGAGGGATCAGTGGGTGAGGTAAGCATCGCACTTATGGGTTCTAGGATTGCTGTTCAGCCACTGTCACATAAGGAGCACGAACTGAAAGCAACGGCCAACACAAGGAGGCCATGAAGTAGCTGTGTCACTGTGTCCATACCAATGCATCTTTCCATCCTTTCCTTCCCTCTGGTCCTCTCTTCCTCTTTCCTGTGTGTGTGTGTGCTTGTCTGGGCGTGTTGTATGTCAGTGTCCTCCAAACCGAAATATTCCCTCTAGAGGGGAAGGCTCATGAGACTCAGGAGGTGTGACAGTCAGTTTTGGTCACCATGATAAAACAGGGTGCCCCAAAGGAACTTTAAAAAAGGAAGAGTTAGGGGGTGGTGGCACACGCCTTTAATACCAGCATGGTGGGGGGAAGGCAGGTGGATCTTTGTGAGTCTGAGGACAGCCTGGTCAACAGAGTGAATTCCAGGACAGCCAGAAAGGTTATACGGAGAAACTGTGTCTCCAAAACAACGACAACAAAAGGAAGAGTTTACTGGGGCTTATGGTTCCAGGGGGAGGGTCAAAATGGCATGACAGTAGGTGGCTGGAGCAATAAGGGAGAAGATCACGTGGCCCAGAGACACCAAACAGGAAGAGGGTAAGGCTATAAACCCACCGGGGACCGAGTGTTCAAATACCTGCCTCAACGGGAGAGATTTCTCTTTCCACCCACCACGGAAGTAAACAAAATGTCCCAAGTCTGGGAGAACGAACATTCGGAAGATTCCGGAGGGCCGCTCCACAGTAAACCACTGGTTGGAGAGACTCCAGCAGTGCTCGAGAGTCACCATCACCCGTGCTGGTGTGGGCTTTTCACAGATGTGGCAGCTTTCTGAGTCAGCCCCACTCCTGAAGTCACCCTCCCTGTCTGTAACTCCAGTCAAAACCCAGCGAGTCACTACGTTAGCCTTTGGTGCCGTTCTTACTTTGGTCTGTCTTTATGGTTCCATTTCTGGGCTGAATAGACATGTGTTGTGTCTTCCTAGGGAAAGTCCGTCACATGAGAGTGTACTTGTGTGTTTGGACGTGTGTGCATGTGGAGACCAGAGGTTGACATTCTTCACCTTATTTTTTGAGGAAGAGTCTGTTTGCCTTTTTTTTTTTTTCTTCTTCTTCTTCTTCTGAAGACAGGGTTTCTCTGTGTTGCCTTGGCTGTCCTGGACTCGATTTGTAGACCAGGCTGGTCTGGAACTCACAGCAAACCTCCAGCCTCAGCCCCCCTGAGTGTTGGGATTGCACGTGTGTGCCGTCACCTGGCGTGGTCTACTTTGGTTACCCTGGTTGTCCAGCAAGCCCAGGGACTGGCCTTGTACCTTCAGGGCTGGGATTCTAGGTGGGGTTCTGATTTGCACGTGGGTAGGAGATGTGAACTCAGGTTGCCACACTTACGTGACAGGCACATTTTCTCAGTTTATAAGTGGTGTTATTTACCAAGGTGATGAGCAATGGAAGGGATGGCTGGTGAAGAGGTCAAGGCTTCTAGTTGGAGGTCTGCTGAGTGTCAGATGCTGTCAGAACGACGGAGAGGTTGAGACAGGTAGGTATTTGAGACAGGTTAGGAGGCATGATCTTGCTGGAGGAGGTGTGGCCTGGTTGGAGGAGGAGGGTCTTGTTGAGGGTGTAGCTTTGCTGGAGAAGGCGTGGCCTAGCTGGAGGAGGTGTGGCCTAGCTGGAGGAGGTGTGGTCTTGCTGGAGGAGGTGTGGCGTTGTTGGAGGAAGGGTGTCACTGGGGCTTTGAACTTTCAAAATCCTAAACCGGTCCACGTTAGCTCTCTCTGCCTTATGATTGGCATCTCAAGATGTGAGAGCCCCGCTACTGCTGCAGCGCCATGCCTGCCGGCCTGTGTATTGCCATGCTCCCCATAATCCTCTGGAACGGTGAGATCCAAATTAAAAGCTTTCTTGTATAAATTGCCTTGGTCGTGGTATTTTGTCACGGCAGTAGAAAACTAACTGTCTTGGTTAGTGTATCTACCGCTGTGAAGAGACTCTATGAACACAGCATCTCTTATAAAGGAAGGCACTTATTTCATTGGGGCTGGCTTATAGGTTCAGAGGCTTAGTCCATTGTCATCACGGCAAGAAGCGTGGCGTAGTGCAGGCAGACATGGCGCTGGAGAGGTAGCTGAGAGTCCTACATCCAGAGACACAGGCAGCTGGAAGAATGACAGTAGGCCTGGCTTGAGTGCACTTGAAACCTCAAAGCCCCAGGGACATACTTCCTCCAACAGTGACACACCTACTCTAACAAGATTGCACTCTCCAATTGTGCCACGCCCTATGAGCCTTTGGGGGATCATTTTCATTCAAACTATCACAGTAACTAAGATAGCATAGGTCCAGCAATTCTATTCATGGATATATATTTATTTTTTAATTTTTTTTTCCTAAATAACTGAAGGCAGGATTGTTAGCAGGCACTTGTACACCAACACTTATTGGGCCTTTACTCACAATAGACCAGAAGCGAAAGCAAGACTAAATTGACGGATACACTTAAAGTACTTTATACAGTAAGTGCAGCCATGAAAGCAATGAAATGGGGGAGGGGAGAACTTGTTTGCAGACGAGGTCTCACTACTGATGGCAAGCTGAGACACCCCTGGACCGGCAGTTTGCAGGTATGCACCACCAAGTCCAGTCAGGAGTGAAGTTCTGTCACAATGCAACACGGGTAAAAACCTGAAGATGTTATATGACTGGTCAAATATGCCAGTCATAAATAGGGAAATATTGCATGAATAGGCAGCTTTATACAGACAGAAGTATTGTTTTGTGGTGGGAATCGGGGGGAAATGAGTAATTTCTACTTAGTGGAGTGCCAGTTTGTGATGATGAAAAAGTTATGTATAAAGAGGGAACATTGCTCAACAGTGTGATGTAGGTATTCAATGGGCTGGGGAGATGGTTCAGTGGTTAAAAATGTGTATTACTCTTCCGGAGGACCAGGGTCCGCTTCCCAACACCTATGTCAGGTGGCTCACGATTGCCTGGAACTCAAACCCAGGGTCCAATGCTTCCTCTTCAGGCATCCCCTTCCCCCCAACCCCCACATATACACACACGATTTTAAAAAATTATTTAAAATGATGAAAATGCCGGGTATATTTTGGCATGATAAAAACACATACACGGCAAGCGAATCACAGGATAGGAGAACTGAGCGTTTTTATCACCTGCTCCACTCCATAACGAGACAGCCACCCCCCCACCTCCAAAATCAGGATGTGTGTGTATACTGCCAGAGTTTACGAGAGAGAGGGGAGAGAGAGAGAGAGCATCTTCTCAGTAAAGGCTCTGGGGCTAGAGGTAAGGCTGACAGGACGTCAGTGAAGGTTTACACTTTACTGCGCTACCCCATTGCCAATCTGTAAGGGTCACTTGCACGCCCTCCCACCTTCCAGCTGACTTGGCTTTCACTAAGCTTTCTGGTGGCCCCAGGTAGTCTCTTCCACTCCCTCCTCGCAGTTCCGTGTCTTCAATCGTCTAGAAGTCTACAATCGAAAGGGGGTTTCAGAGTATGCAAACAATGCACAACCGTCGCCACGATCTAGTTCTAGAACATTTCTAACCCCTACTTCGCCTCTCTGAGCCCCCGCGTTCTCGCCAGTAAGTTGAAACCCCTAATTATCTTTGCTGAGCGATGCCTTACAACTAGACGATTTCGGGGGCGGGCAAAGGTTAAGGCGTAGTAGCCATGGCCTGGGACCCACAAACGCCCGCCTAGAGGCTCTGCGCCTTTTCTCATCGCAGGATCGGTCCTCCGCAAGGCGCCCTGGCAGAGGCGGGGCAGCCGCGGCTCGGGGCTCGATTGTTGATGCCTGAGCACCACTCGCGCCTGCGCGGTCGCGGACGCCGGGCTCGGAGTGTACCCGCGGGCGGCTGCGGCTGCGGCTGCGCGACCCCCTTGACGGCTGCCGCGCCTGCGCGACTTGGGACGGCCGCGCCATGGCGGACGAAGAGCTCGAGGCGCTGAGGAAGCAGAGGCTGGCCGAGCTGCAGGCCAAGCACGGGGTGAGCGAGCGGGCGGGCGGAGCCTCGCGGACCCCGCGGCTCCGTGTGTGTGCGGGGGAGGGCGGTCCCCGGAGGCTGCCGCGGCCTCTCCGCTTTCCCGGGGCTCCCGCCCGGGGCGTGTACGCGCCCTCGGGTCGCCCCGGCATCTCGGTCTTCGCCGCCGTCGAGCCCCAAGCCGGCCCCGCTGGGATGAGGGTCCTCTGGGCTCGGGGTGCCGAGGACGCCGCCCCGAAGGCGTGTCCCGGGGCGGGAGGCAAACCGTGGAGGACTCTCGAGGGTGATGCTCGGTCCCCGAGATGCTGTCCAGGAGGGAGTGGCGGGTGGGGAGCGAGTCCCGGGTGGCCTCGATGGCAACACCCCGTGAACCAGCGTCCTTCGTGCCAAGCCAGGCTCCCTTTTCCAGACCGTCTTCTCGCTGGTAAAAAAATAGGGCTTCATGACAACGGGCCTCTCCAGGACTGTGTGCGTTCCCAAGCATTCCATTAGATTGTGACTTTAGAAGCTCGTCCTCGCTTAGTAAATGTGGGGCTGGGGGGTTAGCCTGGGCCACAGTGCTTTCCTAGCATGCTGGACACGCTAGCCTCCCCCCCCCCCCGCACACACACAGTTTCACCATCAGCCTCTCCTTATTTAATAAAACAAAAACACTGCAAATGGAAATTGACTCGTTGATTTTTTCAGGCCTAGTTTCCACCTCAGGAGCCTGTCAGAGCAGAAAGAAAATAAGTCCTTGTTTTGTTTTTATTTGTTATTTTACTTTATTTTGAATAGGGTCTCTGTTTATACCCCCAGGGCTGGCTGGTAACGGGAGATCCCCCGTCCCCCTGAGTGTTAACTATGGTTACAGATGCGACTCACCCCACCTCACCCCTTTCCTCCACCCCGCAGTAACTTCTGTTTTCTCTCTCTTGAAGTTCCACTCGATTAAAAGGTAAAATTATTTTTTTCAGGATCCTGGTGATGCATCCCAACAGGAAGCAAAGCAAAGGTATGGGCTACAGTTGGGACTTTCTGGAAGGCTGGTTTCGTAGATTGAGTTTGGTTTGTTTTTTTTCTCTCTCTCTCTCTCTTTTATTTAGTAGTTGTAATTGATGTGTGATGCTTAGTGAATATTCTAATGTAGTGAATTTCTAATAAGTCCACATCAGAGTAATTTCCTTTTTAGTTTGAGTCAGTAAGTGCTGATGGAGTTCCCTTAACACCTGTTTTGAAGTTCGGCCTAATGCCTTTCTACTAAGGATAATAATAGAATTGTGTCCTAGGACTTTCTAGACCCAGGACCTCACAGTGTTCCTGGCTGGTCTAACCCTGCACATGGCAGGGCATTTTATGCAAAAACATACAGACATTTGATGAGTGAATACATCACACTCTACTTTTGCCTTTGCCAGTTCTTCGGTACATTTCAGATCTGAGCACTCAGTCCAGTGGTCCCTTGTCCCCCACCCCCTCTAGCAGCCTGCAAGGGTAAACCTGTAAGTCCACATCCTCAGAGAAGCTTGTTTTATTTTCTGTCTCCACTCAGGGACCCTCCTCTAGGGTCTCCTTTTCATTCTTTGAGTACCTAAAGCCAGTGGTGGTTCATGCCTCTAATTATAACTGTGTGGGAGCCTGAGACAGGAGGATCTCAAGTTCCAGGCCTGCCTGGCAGCTTAACGAGACCCTGTGTCAAAATGAAAATTTTTAAAAGAGGGGCTAGGGATATAATATGGCAGTAGAGCGTTTTCTAATATATGCGAGCCTGGGTTCAAGTTCTCCAATGGCAAAAACAGACTGGTCCATCTTACAACCCATAGTGGCTTAGACTCAGAAACGCTGAGAAAGTGGCTTAAGGAAATACACTTTTTAAGTCTGGTTCTATGAGCCTTTGATAGTGGGCATAACCAGCCCCAACTGTCCCTTAATTCTGCAGGACCATGTGCTTTGTCTGATAGGTTTCTTGGATGACTGCCTTAGAGAAATGGTTTAAGTCTCCTACTTAAAGCAGAGTTTGATGCACAGTAAACTCAGGAGTCTGAGGAAGGAAGGAAGGAAGGAAGGGTGGGTTTGAGACCAGCCTTGGCTACATAGTGAATTCTGAGCCAGCCTGAGCTCCATACCTAAACCCTTTCTCCAAAAAGGTTTGGAAGCAGTGTGCCATGGTCCTTTCTTGAGTATTCAGGAAGAAGCAAGAATAACTGCAGAGTTAGAATTTCATAGGATCTGGTTCTGCCTGGGCCCCAGTTTTTCTTTTTCAGAGTCTCCATCAGTCTGTGTGTCCTCCCTAAAGAAAGTACACTCAGTCCTTAAATTGCAGCCTCCTGTGTCACACTAGGTACTTGATGTTGGTAATGATTGCTGAACTAGAATACCAGTTCATGAAATAGTGTCCTGCCATTCTGGTAGCTTCCACCCATAGAACTGGCTCTTAGAAGGCGAAGGCACCTAGCATCGTCCAGTCTGAACTACAGGTGTCTCAGAGTGGCTTGCTGGTGGCTCAGCAGGTAGGGGAACTTGCCACCAAGCCTGATGATCTGAGTTCAATCTTCAGGCCCCACATGGTGAAAGGAGCAAACTGATTCCCAAAAAAAGTTCTCTGACATCCATATGTGCGCTGTGGTGTGCCTCTCCCCATAATAAATAAATAAATGTAAATATATTTTTAAAGAGGCATTGAATAAACGACTTCGTACACTCAGATGACAGCTTAGTTCTAATCTTATGTGACCTGTGTTTTGTTGTAGGGAAGCAGAAATGAGAAACAGTATCTTAGCACAAGTTCTGGATCAGTCAGCCCGGGCCAGGTGTAAGCATCTTTAATTTCCTTTATTCCCATAAAATTGGCTTGAGGTAATTGGATTTGTAGATACATATATGGAGTTATTGTTCTAATCAGAACAAATGTTTGTTTAAAGTACTTGAAATACATTGTAAGAAGTATTAAGTGTATAAACCTTGAGAGAGATTATTTATAATGGAAGTATTTCCTTCCTTATAAAGATTCCATTGAGGACATTTTTCAGTAAAGTGTGTTGCTAGGAGTGTTCATGGCGATGAAGAGCTAGGGATTGATTGTATTCTCTGTTTTAGTTTTTGTCCAGAGTTTTCATAGTAAAATGTAAAGCAGAAAGGATGAGCCAGAGTGAAGCAGCATCTTTTCTGTTGGAAACATGAGTCCAGCCTTGGTGAGGAGAGACAGCTGTAGATGAATTGCACCATCATTTCACAGGCAGCTGTACGCTAACAGAAGCAGGAAAGCATGGAGTCAGAATCTGAGAACTGAAGTTTAAGCTTGGCTTTCCTGCCAGTGAGTGAACGACACGAGATTGACAAGGCTGAACTCTGATGTTGTTCAGAAGAGGCATAACTGTACTGTCTGCCTTTATCTGCCTTTTGCCTGTCGACAGACAAGCTTGTGAAATCCTTGGGAAGTGTCAGTGAATAGTTTTAAGGTATAATTAGTGTATTTAGTCTTTGCTTTTTTTGCATATATATATATATGTTTGTGTTTTCTTCTTTATAGTAAGTAACTTAGCACTTGTAAAGCCTGAAAAAACTAAAGCAGTAGAGAACTACCTTATACAGATGGCACGATATGGACAGCTAAGTGGGAAGGTGAGTCCAGACTGCCTGAAGGAGCATGGTGGTACTACAGTGTGAAACCGGGGCTTTGGGGCTCGCGTGTGGCTCAGCAGTGACAGTGCTGGTCCCTTACAGAAGATGGTGCTCAGCACCCACATGAGGCGCCACACAGCTGCCTGCAGCTCCAGCTCCAGATGATCCAGTGCCCACTTCTCATCTCCACACATGGATGTAGCACACGCATGCGCACACACACACACACTCACACTCGAGTATGCACACATGTGCAAACCACTCGTGCACATGAATTCTTACAACTTAAAAAAAATCAGCTGCACTGAGTAATTTCCATATTTGACTAGAGAATTCTTGTTGAATCCAAAAAAGTTTTAAAGGAGAGAATAATCACCCCCACTGTAAATCTTGAGTAATGATTACATATCCCAAATGCTCAGTTTTCTCCTTTCTTGCCATTGTCTCTGTGTGGAATATTGTTTGTGTCAGTATGCCCCAGTGACTATTAGAGTCACCTGGCTTAAATTATTCTTTCACTGGGTATAGGTTTTGTCAGTATCAATTAAAATACCACCAGTATTTGCAGAAGCTGGGCTTATTTGGCACCTGTGAGGGGAGGTTGACGTCCTTGGCACGTGCATGTGAGCATGTGCGTGTCTGTCTGGCTGTCATCATGAGCATTGTGTTTAGGAAGTCCACTCATGAAGCTTCAGCAGCCACACAAGCCCTGCCTGCACTGAAAGCTGGAGAGAACTAGGTCTTTTTTGAGGGTGTTGTCTCTGGGGTGGTGTGGGCAGAGTTGGCATATCTGTGCCTTTGTGACCTTTCACACAGTGCTTGTCATTGCCTCCCTTGTAGTGACAGTCCCTCTGTCCCTCCTGATCTATGTCTTGGAAAGACCTACCAGTGATTGATGTCTGCTTATAGATGTTTGCTTGGAAACTTCTTTCTGTTTACAGGTGTCAGAACAAGGCTTAATAGAAATACTTGAGAAAGTCAGCCAGCAGACAGAAAAGAAGACAACGGTTAAAGTAAGTGCTGGATGCATGACAGAAAGGAAGGCTGTGCTGTTTTTGGTGTGCGCCTGAGCTACCACAGTGCCTCTGAGCGTTTAGACACTTTGATTCTGTAATGTGGTTGGGAAGAGGTCTGGCTATGTGGAGCAAGTAATTCTTTTTTATGAAAGAGTAATTTTTAAGATTCTCTCTTCACTTACTGTTTCAAAGACACGCACAAGCCTCACGTGAGTCATTAAAAATGTTTTTCTCTGAAAATCGGAGGCTTTTTAAAGTGTCTGACATCCCTTTCATTTCCCCTAGTTCAACAGAAGAAAAGTGATGGACTCTGATGAAGATGATTACTAACAGGAAGTGCTTAGACTTCTGGAGCAGTGTCTAGGCCAGTTACAGCCTTTTGAATGTTTACTTTATTGTCTAGATGCCTTTTGAAAAAATAAACTTGTACTCAAACTATAGCAGTTTGGGTGTTTCAGAGTCACAAGCAACTCACAAGAAGGTCTGCATTTTGAATGATTTTTTCCCTTCCTACCAAAAGCTTTTAAATGGTGGCAGTGCAAGATTATGCTTTGCAGCTGGGACATTAACGTGAGATGGAGAAATAGCAGCTATGCCAGCAGACAGAGACATCAAGGGAACAAAACCCCTGGGCAAGCAAATGAGCTTTAAGCTCTGAGCACATCCAGCATTCTTAAGACAGGGTTGTTTCCTCTTCCTGCAGGTAGCATTCAGATTCCCAGCTTTTGATCTCATTTACTTTTTAGAGGCCTCAGGTTTACATTATCCAACAAATGCCACTTGGATCCAAAACAACTAGAGCGATACTTCCGCAAACTAACTACTTCCCCGTGGTAACTGTTGAACAGTGACATGTTTACAAGTAGACCAGAGCAATGACTAGGTGTCTGCGAGCACAGAGGGCACAAGTTCTCCCAGCATTCATGTTGGGCAGCTCACAACCTCCTGTACCTTCAGCACCAGGGGATTGGATACCCTCTGGCCTCAGAAACCTACCCATGAACCTCCTTATAAGCACACACACATACATAATAAAAGTAAATCCTAAAAAAAAAAAAAAATGCAAAGAAAAGAATTGTCAGTCCTTGTTCAGGATTGCGCTGTCATAGTCAAAACCTGTATGATTTTGTGGGTGGTTTTGGTTCACAGGGTTTTTACTGTGTGTGTGTGTGTGTGTGTGTGTGTGTGTATGTGTGGGGGTGGTGGGGAGGAGGTGTTGTTACTGTTTTTAAGGAGGTTTCATTATATCCAAACCTGGTCCCACCTTTCTGTTTAGCCAAGGATAACCTGAGATTCATGATCCTCCACATCTCTAGTGCTGAGATTACATATGTATACCACCATACATACATGTACCATCATACCTGGTCTGTGTGGTGCTGGGATTTGAACACAGAACTTCACGAGTGCTAAGTAAACAATGCTGAGGCACATCTTCTGCCCTGCTTAAGACTTTTCAAAACTTACCAGTTATACTTAGAATTTGCTTTATGATGCATTTATAAGAAATGGCATGTCTCTGTAAGTTTTGTTACACGTTTCCTTACAGTTATCAGTCCTCATGCCAAAGACTGGCTGAGGTGTGCTGAAGGACACTTGGGAATGGAAGGCTGTCTGTTTATGCAAGAACAGTCTTGAAGACAGCTCAGACGCTACATGCAAACATTTAGCCTTCAGGCATGGAGCTGGCAGTGCTTGGAATCACAACACAAAAGATGTAAGCATTGCAAATTCTTAATGGCCATGTCAACTTAAAAAAAAAACAAAACACACTTGTAAACTGCCCCACCTCTCACTGCAGTGGTTGGCCTGAGGAGTCTGCACTGGCAAACTGCAACACAGTGTGTGTCTGCCTCTGGAGATTGTGTGCACTGGTAAACCTTGAGGTCATGGAGCCAGAGCAGCAGACACCAATAAAGTGTTTTTGTTAAAAAGGAAAAAAAGGAAGGGCCCGAGAGGTCTCTTAGCTGTTAATGAGCACTGGCCACTCTGTGGAGGATCTGGATGGTATTCCTAGAACCCACACAACCACCCGTAACTCCATTCAAGGGAATCTGATGCCCTCTTCTGGCCTATAGGCATGTGTCATGCAGATGGAAAAGCAGGCAAACACCCATTCTCAAGTGGGAAGGGGAGGAAAAGTCAACAAACCAGTTGATCATCTGCACTGGCTCATTCTGTGTCAGGAGGCTGCCTTCATTTCCTGTTTTGAGTGTGTTTGTGCAGCCCCTCAGGAAGCTGAGGGGTAGGAACCAAAGTCCAAGGCCAGCCTAGGCAACTTAAGTACCACCAGAAAAAATGTCTTTGTGGGCACTCTTGAGAATTGTGTATGGCGTTGACCCATCAACACCCAAGGTGGGTGATGGTCTGCTCTAAGTGATCTAGGCGTGTGGCCCAGTCAGCCTTAAATACAAAGGACACTGGATCGTTCCAGTGAGGACCGTTTTCCATACAGTACTGTTGTACAGGACTTTCCCGTGAGCCAGACTACCACCATCATCCTCACATCAGCTGTGTCCACTTACAAAAGATCACTGCTGCTGAGTTTGTTGAATGTCACCGGTCCTTTATGGGAAGCAGGGGGACAGTCATGGGACCTTCAGCTGAATAAGCTCCAGCCAGCTGTGCACAATTCTGCTGTAACTGCACGTGCTCAGGGAGGGCCTAGAGAGTCAGGGAAAGGCTAGGGAACGGGTCTCCATCGACACAGGCAGGAGCCCTCATCCGTACTGGACACTGACTTCCCACCCATTGCTCTGTAAAGAGGCCCAACAAACTCAGTGCTTCACAAACTCAGTGCTGCCCTCAGAGTGACCTCCAGTTCAGTCATACTCTGGTTTGTCACTGGGACCTTAGGAAGAGGGACTAGGCAAATCCCTTCTCCCCTGGGGAGGAATTCTCACATGTTTCTGGAAGGGTGGCTGAGAAACTTCACAGTATAAAAGTAAAAAGTGGCCTGACACATTCAAGAGTCATAAAGTTTACTGTTTTCTTTTCCATCATTTGGCACATATCCAAGGCACATTAGAAAATTAGAAATCATAAATTACTTTTGTAGAAAAATAATCAGCCCCACCCTTCTATACATTCGCAAGTATTTCCAAGAATGTGCACAAAACCATTCCCCTTTACAGAGTCCTTTGAAAATGGACTCAGAGCAAACCCACATTTGCAGCTTTAGGATCAGGAACATAAAAAAATAATAGAATCTATAGAGAGTTATAAAAAGGAATCAATGGCAACAAATTCCAAATTAAACTCTGACCCGGTTTGTGCTCTAAGTTTTGAATCTGAATCGAAAGACTTAAGATGTGCCAAAGCCGCTCTCTGGTAAACCATCCGTCAAGTGTGCTGTGTCGGGGAGGCTCTCAAGCAGAGGGTGAGCAGAAGCCGCTGGGGGTGCACGCACAGTGACCCAAGCGTCTGTCGTTGGAAAAGCGATGGCCAGCTTTTCCCGTACATACGGTGTAGAACAAGGCAGAATGGTAGGTCCTTTTCACTGGGACGGATATCAAAATGGCATTCAGGCAGTTTCCAGTGCAAGTGCTTCCAGGTTCTGTTTCTTGATCCTGACAGGGAGCTTCTCTGCCTGGCAACCACAGTTCCTCAGGACTGACACTGCTTCTCTGACTTCTCCTGGACCTACTTGCCACACCACAGACATTCAGTGCCTTCCAGCCAACGGAGGGCAGAACTGATGGCGAAGCCTCTGCCCAAGACCAGGAAACCCAAGTACTAAGATGAAGGGGCTTGTTGGTTCCCTCCCACTCCTTTTCATGCTTGTTAGCTTTGAAGAGGAGAGAGCGTCGTAAATCCAGGGACCATCTCAAGCTGGTTATTCAAAAGTATACTCAGTTCTACACAGTATTCATGCTCACCATCTTACCACAGGCTCATGTCTCAGGAGCGCATTTACCAGTCCCTTCCTGCTAAGACTGAGAAACACTAGCCTCTTGGGTGGTCAGCTGGCCAGTCACCTCTGGGACCGGGGGGATGGCCACGTCGTTGTCTGTGTGCCTGCGGACCATCCGCCTGTGTCCAGGGGCAGCCTGCCTCTCTGGGGGCCCCTGGTTGCCCTCTGGGATCTGAGATCTGCTCTGCTCCGACAGGTCATTCCGCTTTCCCATGACTCTGCTTCTCTGGCTAAGGAAAAGAGAGAACTCAGTTCACACCTGTCCCATTCCAGACCACCGTACGGCAGCAGCTTCCCTACAGGGTATCCGCGCACCCTAACCCCACAGGCATGGCAACAACTGGAATGTGGTGACGGTGCTTGCGGGGCCCCGTGTGACGTGCAGGAAGTGCTCTGTGTGTCTCTAATCCCCATGACCATAGGTGCTGTGGCTGCCCCTGCCCTTCCAGCAAAGAAACTGCACAGGAAGGGCATTCGATTGTCACACAGCAAGCGAAGAGGGCACCTGACTGGCCCTCTCAGCAAGATGTCAACGCTGACACGTGGCCTGCCCTGGAGGACGGATGTATGAAAACTAAAATATGAAATCAAACTTGGTCATGCAAGCTGGCATGGCAGCTCATACCTGTAACCCCAGTCCTTGGGAAACTGAGGCATGAAGGTTACCCTGAGTTTGAGGTCAGCTGACATTACAGGATGAAACTTTCAAAAGGGGGGTGGGGTGGGGATTGCTGTATTTGTCGCACTAATTATTGCAGAAATTCTCTTAAATGATCATTTGTGAGTTTTTCCCAGCAAACCCGTGGCATGCACACTGTCCCTTCTCTCTCTTCAGCAACTGGGAGAGGCACATGTTGGAGCTTCACTTTACAGTGGAATAGATCACCTCAGGCCTTTACTAACTGGTTCAGAAGGAAGTTGGGTACATAAAGAACTTTATGTATGTGTGGGGGGGGATCATAACATGATATCTACATACACTGTCCTTACTTCAAATATTGTAAAGCAGTAAAACTGGGCTACTCTGCTTTCTGTAAACACCGAATTGCAGCTTTCCATGTACACCATGACTTTCCACCTCTCCCGGACTCTCTCAGCGCAGAACTGCAATTTTACATTTCTTTTTGGAAACAGGGTCTCACTGTGTAGCTCTGGCTAGCCTTGAACTCAGTGATCCTCCGACCTCTGTCTCCTGGGTGCCAGGATTAAAGGCATGTGCCACCATGCTTGTCCAGAGCTGTAATTTTAAATTTATTCAGAACTCCACACTCTTGTCTGCCCCACTGTAGAGCTGAGGTTTTAACTTTTTGCTAAGTCAGTGAAGGAGATAGTAAGATGAAGATGACTTGAGAGGAGAAACAGCCAAACCGTAAGCCTCTACCGTGTAAGCACTCACCTCCTGCAGAGACCCTGCGGTAAGATCAGGCACACTTCTATCCCTTCCCAGAGTCTCCCTTGAAGTCCTTTCCCTGAAATGCAGAATAAACCAAGTGTTAATTCAAAACAAAGTATCTGGCTCTTGTGGGCCAGCTGCCCACAAGATGGCAGCATTGCACGAGCAGTTAAAGCTGCACAGATCCCAGCATCCCGCAGGGAGCAAACCCCAGGGTCAAACCTGTAGATACTCACTGGAACCGGCCCCCTGGGTTAACGAGGCAGAACTGTCTCCTAAAAGGTTCGTCTGGTAGGTTGTACATTTTGGGGTTCCCTGGGAATGAAATGGTAAAACACCCGAAAACTTCATAAATAAAGGTGACTTTAAAACTGCAGCACAAATTCTCTGACTTCCCAGCTCATCAACACTTAGAAAGCTGAGTGCTTCATGTGCTTTAAAAACCTGGTAAACAGCTGTTCCTCACCAGGCAAGCCCTGGTGAGACAAAGCAGACTATACAAAGGCTCCTCATCTGCGGCCGGTAATGGCAAGGCCGCCCTGGGATTCTCTAGGAACATCAGCAGGTTTCTCTCTACGTGGTTGCCACTGCATTCAAACTGAGTTCTGAAGAGCTCAGAAAGCAGAACCCCTTTTAAAAATAAAGTTCTCATTCTGGACAGGTGGGCAGGTATGTAATCACCGTCGCCCTGGGTGCACCTGCCAAGGAAAACCACGAAGGGCCGGAGAGACGGCTCAGTGGTTGGCACTGGCCTAGCATATACACGGAAAAGCCTTAGACCCTCAGGTCTAAGTGGCTCGGGCCTGGGGAAAGCTAGCATCTGCCCCGGACAATCTGAAGTGTACAAAAACACCTGGCGTTAGGACATAGACTAGAGAATCCAGACTGTTCTCACCAGCTGACGGGAGAGCTGACACTAAGCTGACCCCAAGAGTATCAGTCTTACTTCTGCAGGAAACATCGTGACAGTCAACTAGAAGACTAGCTCAAACACACTCCTCAGCTGACATCGTGACCTCACATGGTTTCTGTGGTCCCTGGCTCCCTCCCTGCATGACAACAATTACATTTGGGCTGGGGGCAGGGCTCAGCAGCGGAGTACGTGTTTGGCATGTGTGAGGATGTAGGTTCATGCCCAACACCCCCAAAACAACAAAACCAAAAGAATACCGAAGGGCTAGGGAGCTGGCTCGGTTGGTAAAGTGCCTGCCACGGAAGATCGGAGTTCCAGCCCCAGATCCGAAGGAAAGGCCTGGTGGTGGCTCAAGGCCCTGGCCGCAACTCCACGGGACCCCGGGTTGGTTCCCAGCACCCACATTCCTGCAACTGCAGTTCCACGTCATCTGATACCCTCTTCCAGCCTCCAAGGGCACCAAACACATCCATGGTGCCCAGACATACATCCAGGCCATGTGTGGGTTTGTGTGCTCGAAATTGTAGCCCTGGGGAAGCAGAGACAGGCAGAGCCATCTCCTCAGCAGCCAGCCGCCTACTCTAGAAGCTCCAGCCCCGTGGGAAGCCCTCTGACTACAAGCTGGGCAGCTCCTGAGCAATGACAGCCAAGGCTGACCTCTCAAACACACACACATGCGTTCACACACGCGCGCACACACACACACACACAAGGAACCCACTAACCAGCCAAATGGACGGATGACTTACATTTTTTCCTGATCGTAACAGTCACATAATCCTTGTCGTCGGTCTCCTCGACATGGTTCGAGGATGCAACACAACGTGGCACTACCTGCAGCAACTCCATTATTTTTGAATCCTACAGTTTAAAACGGGGGACACCACTAAGTTGTTGGAACGTGTCTCAGCAGATTATCACTTGGGGTTCCATCTAAATATCAATATTGGTGTGACCGAAACCCCTCCCTGAAACAGCTCTGAAACAAAACAACCGTCAGGACACACGTCAAGGCCCCACCACGGGCCGGCTGTCCCAGCACCTGAGGCTGGAGAATAGCTTGAGCTCAGGAGCTCAAGCCTCTACAACAGGGAAACTGTTTCAGAAAAGATCCTGATCTTCATTCAGACGCTCTGGCTTTCACTAGGAACCCCAGCCGGCACAGTCAACTACTGCACATGGGGGTGAGTACCGTGAGGGGCTGTTACTAGCTGGCTGTCGAGAGGCTATTCAGGAGCCACTGTCCAAGACACAACAGAACAGAGCTGGTGTCATCCATCTTTGAGAGAGTAGCAGAGGGAAGGCTACGCATTACCTGTTGGGTATCGTCAACCCTCATAGACACCTCAACTCATTCAAGGGACACCTAAAAATTCACCATCACCTTAGTGAATAAAGAGGTGCTAAAGATGTCACCTAGGACACTGGACATGATAGGCAGTGGTTCTACAATGAACCACCTCCAGCCCCTCACTGAGGAATTCTAGGCAGGTGTTCTACAACTGAGCCACACCCCAGCCCCCCACTGGGGGATTCTAGGCAGGTGCTCTACCCATTTAGCCATGCCTTTACCCTTAAAAATTACACAAACCTATAACTGGATTTACAGTGACTCTAACATCTCTATTGGGTCAATCAACAACCAACTAGCTGTCCATTTGGAGTTTAAAGCCAAGACTCACAATGAAGACAGGAACAGACTTTCTCCATGACTGAATTGCTACACTGGAGAGAGTAGCAAGTTGGGGATGTAAATTCTCTCAGAATCTGAGAGATTTAAATCCATAACTAAAACTCTCCATTATGCTATAGGGCTGGCAAACCCAGACCGATGTCTAACCTGACACTTCCCAGATGTGACAGCATCTGTGTGTGCCAGAAAATGCTAAGCAGAATTTGACAGGTGCTCCACCTTCCCTCGTGCCTCTGAAACTACCCCAAAAAGAATGAGCACCGGCACTTCCAGTGTTGCCAACCAGTGACCCTGGCAAGTATCCAAGCCCTGCCAGTGGCCGTCTGGCGTGTTCATTCGGCTCGGCACAGAGCAATGAAGACCCAGCTGTTGTCCTCTCACATCTGGTTTGAACACAACGGATCCACGATGTGCTTCCAGGAGCACGGGGCTCCCTCAGCCATCAAGCCCTCCGTCACCTGGTCCGCGCAGTCCGCAGCCGTGTACTGCCTCTTGTTCAGGATGTCAACAGATGCTCCATGAAACAGCAGCAGCTCCACCACCAAGACGTGCCTTCCCGTCACGGCCTCGTGCAGGGCTGTGTTGCCTTTGTTGTTGGAAGCATTGATGGAGGCCCCATGCTAGGAAGAGAGACAGGGCAGTCAGGACAGAATCTGCGTGACTGTTCGCTAAAAAATTACTTTAAAAAACCTTATTTACTGGCAAAGGTACATGTGCCAGAGCACACACTGAGAGGTCAGAAGACAATGTTTTGAAAGTTCATCTTTCCTTCTGCCCATTTTTGAGGCAGGGTCTCCCTTGTGTCTGCTGCTCTGCTGCATATGGGAACATCTTGCCAATTCTGCTGTCCCCAGTTCCAATCTTGAGGAAGGAGTGCTGGGATTACAGGCATGAACCATAGGGAATCCACTTTTTTTTTTTTTAAAAAAAAAAAAGGTATAATGTTCTTGTGGAATGTATACAGTTTACCCTTGTTCATTCAAATGCTGATTTCTCCCCTACTACCTGGTTTCAATCTGGACATTGCATTGTGATCACCTGTCTCAAGTCTGTGTAAACATGTCACCGTTTGTTCTCTGTATTTTCAAGAAAACAACCAGTCAATGCTGTGCAGTGGAACATCCTGGTCCACAGAGGAGGAGAAGGAAGACAGTGGGAGATGGTCAGAGAGCAGAGATTGGCAGAAGAGAACTTGGAACCAGGAGGAGAGATGAATGGGACCTAAGATATGACTAAAAGCAAGTATAATGTGGGAAATCTGAATGGAAGGAAACTATACGCCTTGGAGGTTTAGGGTAGAGTAAAACCCCAGCATTGTGCTCTGGGTTAACTAAATACATCCTAGTCTTTGTGTGGTGATTTGGGTATACAGCTGGTTTAGGCATAACCACTGTTTAACTAAAAGATAAATCAATAGTAAATCTTAATAATCAACAACAAAAGTTTATTTTTCTTTATGTGTATTAGTGTTTGCCAGTATGCAAGTATGTCCACTGTGTACATGCCTGTGGCTTTAGAGGCCAGAAAAGGGTCCCCAATACCCTGGAGCACAGATGGCTGTAACAAACTACGGTTGGGTGCTGACAGTTGGGCTTGCACAATCACTTATACCCGCTAGGTCATCTCCTGCTAGGTCTGTAACTTTATCTTCTGAAGACATAGTGTTTCATACCTTCAATCCTAGCATTCAGGAGACAGAATTTCTTTGAGTTTGAAGCCAGCATGTCTGCACGGTGAGTTCAGGGGCAGCCAGAGCTACAGTGAGACCTTGTCTCAAAAAAATAAATTTGATTTTGACACGGTGTCACTATGAAGCCCAGGCTGGTGGCCTCAAACTCAACTTCCTGGGTGTGTGGCTCAACATAAAATTCTCTGAACTTCTTTTTAAAAAAAAATCAAGGTAGTTTTTTGTTTTGTTTTATTTTGTCTTTTCTTCCAATTTTTAATTATGTGTATGTGCAGTTTGTGTGGGTCTTCGTGTGAGTACAGGTGCCTACTGAGGCATCAGATTCCCGGGGCTCTCCTTTCAGGTGGCTGTGAACCACCTGACATGGTGCTGGGGACCAATGTCCGGTTTGTGCAAGGGCTTGTATTCTTAACTGCCATCTCTTCAGCAACATTTTTCTTTTTAGCAATAATTCTCTATCTTAAATAGATTTTTTTTTTCTTAAATAGCGTGGATTAAAAAGCAAAAAAGATTTACAGCTGAGAATATGCGCTGCAGGGCTTGCGAACATGGCACTTTTTCGATTAGTATGTTTTGTTTTGTTTTCTATTTTACGTCAAAAGTTGGTACTTAAAGTCTCGGTTGCGTTTGGCCTGGTGTGGTGGCTCATTGCAAGCCTAGCACTTGAGAGACCGAAGCCAGCCTGGGCAACTTGGTGAGATGAACTGAAAATAATTCGGACGAAATAGCCAGCCCCCTTGTGTGTCGGTAGTCAGTGAGCCCAGACACACCAGAGTCCCACTGTTTGGCAGTTACTGTTGGGTGGCTTCTGTTCTCTCGTGCCGTGCACTGAGTGTTTTGAGATGGAAGTCCCACGGGACAGCACAGGCTGGCCTGGGCCTCTCAACCCTTCTGCTGCAGCCTCCTGCTTGCTAGGGTCACAGGAGTGCGCCCCTAGGCTTTGCTTCTACCCACACATTATTTCCTGTGTGAAGCAGCAGAGGCATGGCCGAGGCTGTGTGTGGTGGGGAGGGGGGTGCGGCTACTTTATTCTCTGATTGACCATCAGCATGTGCTTCCTTTAGCAAGCACAGAGACATTCCCCATGGTGATGTGCCCGGGCCTGGATCTGTACCTCAAGCAGAGCCGTGTCCCCGGCACTGGCCCTTCTGTCACAGAATCACTAGCAGAAATGCAGGCATGCAGTTCACCTCCCCAGAGAAGGGTGACTGACAGGCAGGCAGTCTACAGGCCCAGATGGGGCTTTAGGAGGCCCTGGAGTGGGGGGCTGGCAGGCAGCTCTGTAGCTAAGAGTGTGTGCTGCTCTTGGAGAGGACCTGAGAATAGCTCCTAGCACCCACATCAGACAGCTCACAACAGCCTAACTGCCGGTCAAGGGGACCTGGTGCCCTCTACTGGCCTCTGTGGGCACTACATTACATGGTATGCATACATACATACATACATACAGGCAAAACACGCATACACACAAAATGAAAATAAATCAAAATTTTAAAACTACAAAAACGAAAATTGCTTTTTCGTTAAAAAGGCCTGGTGTGGCGGGGAGGCTCTTACCTGTAGCAACAGTGCAGCGACTTCATGGTGGCCTCTGGAGCAAGCATAAATGAGGGGCGTGTTCCCACCAAGGTCCTTTTTATTCGGTTTTGCATTGGAATCTAGGAGACATTTCACCACCTGACAAGAAAACCGTCAATCTGAATTATAACTTAGAAAGAGAAATATTAGCCAGGCACGGTGGCGAGTGCTGTAATCCCAGCACTTGGTGAGGCCCAGGCAGGTGGATCTCTGTGAGTTGGAGGCAGGCCTGGTCTACAAACTGAGTCCTGGACAGCCAAGGCTACACAGAGAAACCCTGTCTCGAAAACAAATACAAATACAAAACAAAAAACCCAAACAACAAAACAACAACAACAAAGAAGAGAAACCCTGTCTCAAAAGAAATCTTTCTCTGCAGGTGAAATGGGCCCCCTGGAATCAGGAGACAGTAACAGGACGGAGTGGGCACTAGGGCTTCCATCTTTGTGGCTACCTACAGAGTTGCAGCCACTGCTCCCAGTGCATGGTGGAGAGCCGTCATGGTGGAGGCCTGAGAGGGATGCAGACTTCCCAAGGCAAAGGAACCATCAACACACTGACAACTTCCCAAAGAAAGCAGCCTTTAGGAAGCTAATGGGTTCAAAACCAGGTGTGATGGCACACATCTGTAATCCCTGTCCTCAGGAGGCTGAGGCAGGAGGATGGGAAGTTTGAGACCAGGCCGAGTTACACAGTAAGACCTTACTTCAAAACAAAACAAAAAGTAATTGCCACTTTCTGTCTTGGGCCACTGTACAGGGTTTTGGACATTCCTTATAGAACACTGCGCTATTTGCATAGACCTAAAGGCCAGAACCTCGGCAGAGGACG